CATGTCTTTGTTTGTCCTTTTTTGGAGCTTGACGGTTCCTAGTCACTATATGGATTCATTGCATGGAAAAGAGCAGCGTGAACATTATTCAAAACATTTGCTTTTGTGTTCTACAAAAGAATTCAGGGTTTGGACTGACATGAGGGTGAGTAAATGACAGAATTTTTTTCAGAAAATGAGGAGTGGATAAAGAGAAACAGAAATATAAGAATGACAATGTGCACAGTGGTCAACATACAGTAGAATGGACAGTATCTCTGGGTCTCTTGTTAGATATTAGAGGACACTGCATCCCCCATTTATAATAGTGTCTCACGTCTCATTTCTGGAGAGGTTCAATGTCAGCACTAACAACTTCTAATGTCACCCTGTCTCTCCCCTGTGTGTGTGTGTGTGTGGCAGGAGTAACCTGTCATGGCACCCTAAGCTGTAATAGATCTGCTGCATAATTCATGAGGCAGTTCTGTGATTATGAGCATTACTGTCATTACTCAGCAAGCAGCCAATCACGTGACTGATAATGTGACGGCAACGAGAACACATCCTCACCTTTCTCTGGAGTGACTTTTTTTTTTCTCTCTCGTACAGAAACTCAATTCTGCAGTAATAATATTCTGTGAAATGTAAACTCCAAAATCTAGTAAGATTCAAGGCTGTCTACTGCCTACATAGGCAGCTGTCTTCAAAGGCAAGATCCAAACCAACTTCATAACCTGATCTCAAATGTACAGTGGGTATAGAAAAGAATCACCCCCCTTTAAAATAATCACATTTTGCTGCTTTGCATTTGCTTTGTAGTCACATTTTGTTTGGTGTTATATCTTTCACTTGAATGTTAGAAGTTACACTGAGTAAATACAGCTGGATAAAACAAAAACGGTCTGTCTTCATTTCAGGCTGCAAAGCAACAAAATGTGATTTTTTTCAAAGGATGTGCGGGGGTTCTTTTCTATACCCACTGTATTTTATGAGTGTGCAATTTCATACAATGTACCTCATAAGTGACTGATTTGGACATGTGTCCTCATGACACATAATAGTGAGAATCAAAATAGCCGCGTGACTCGCAGTACATTCCAAAATAGTTTAACAATAGCATGTTGCTAAGTTGCTAATTAGTAAAAAATCTGTCAATATTTGGGCATTTTAAGATAATCAGCATACGCCAGAAAGAAATAGCACTAATCAGGTAAATCAAGTGCCGCACATAGTTAAATCCAATGTAACATTAGCATGTTGCTAAGCTAACAAATGAGAAACTAATAAGTACTGTAGTAACACAACATATATAACTGGGTAATATTTGGGCATTTTGAGATTAATGGTACAGTACGTGCCACACAAAATAGAGCTCCTAACGTTTAAACAACTGATTCCAACAGAGTGTAATGTTAGCATGGTGCTAATCTAAGATAACTGATCAAATAATCGGTCTAAATTTGGGCATTTGTGATTATTAGCATGTGGCAGACAAAATAGCACTTCTCAAGTTTATCAAACAGTTGATTCTATTAAGACCTGAACTTTAATACAATAGAGTGTGACATTAGCATGTTGCTAAGCTAGCAACACAATGAATAATTGGTTGATATTTGGGCATTTTGAGATTATTAGTTTGAGCACCACAAAATAGCGCTTCCTCACATTTATCAAACAATTGATTCTATTAGCACTGTTCTAATCAAATAACCTGACAATATAAGAGTAAGCAGATGAATTATTGGTCTATATTTGGGCATTTTGTGATTACTAGAATGTGGAAGACAAAATAGCACTCATCGCATGAATCTACCGAAAAGCGTACCTGGCAACTGATTTTAATAAAGTGTGCCATTAGCATATCGCTATGCTAACCACATGACAATCATTAACACCTAATGGTCTGATAACCTTAAAAATCTATTTATCTTTCCATTTTGTTATTTTTGTGAATTTAAATGACATTATCAAAAAATAAGACATTTATTTTATTTGATATAAACATGTTGTGTACCTCTTATTAGCTGTCATTAAATTGTACATTGTATATATCTAACAATACACATAAAAATTCATAATACACCATCATCACTGAGAAAAATCAATGACCCTGTCCACTATATTGGAGAAAAAAATTTCACAATGCATTCTGGGACAGCCAAAACAAAGTTTTTTAGAAGGTAACATGATGCTGGTCACCTTTTGGAACTATCTTCTTGTCAGGAACACATCTAATGCCCTTAAAATGTTTTCTAAGTAGGCAGCTCACTAGCTTTTGAAACAGCAGTTACATTACATATGAATAAAACTACATTTGTATGCATGGGTTTTCAAACTATCCTCTACCTCAATTTCGCTCTTCTTATTTCAAGCTATCAGTTTCCTTGTTTCTTTTTCCTCTTGCAAGTGTTCAATGAATCCGACATCTGTTGCGTTTTATCTAGGGTCCTCACACCTCATTCTCATTTTTTTATCGTAATCTCTGTCAGTCCATCCCTCTCTCTCTCATCTGTATTCTCCAGACCCCTCTCTTTCTCTCGGGTACGGATCTCACGTGTGGCTCTCTGGTCTAATGGAATCACAGCTCAGTCTCTCAGCTGGACAGTAATCACTCTCTCTCTCTTTTTCACTCACTCGCTTGCTCTCACACATAACACAAGGGCTTCACTTGAGCAAAAGCTTCACGGAAATCCTTTCAAGCGTCGGTGCAGTCCAAAGACAAAGTATACTGTGTATAATATCTTCAAATGTTTCAAAACACCTCTTTGGTTCTGGACTACAACTCTAAGTATACATATACAAACTTCACTTCATTATAACTATAAAGACTAGCGAAGTGTTTTTCTTTTTAAGGGTATTTTCAACCACAACTGGGTGGTTGCACTAGACTTTGTGTTTTATGCACTTTCATGTGCTTTACTGCATACTAAGGTTCAGTTTGGTGAATTCTTAAAAATTCAAATTTGCTAAAAATGTTTGACCTAAACATCTCAGATTATGAAGATTGTTGATATCAAGGTGGGTTCTTTTGGGTTGGGTCAGCAAGCAAGCAACTACAGAAAAGATCGATCTTAACCAGGGGTACAAGGAAAACTAAAAGTGACAAAAATGGCCCCAATATGCAAAATGTCAATGCTAAAAAAATATATATTTCTATATATTATTTCTGATAATATTCCAATTTAAGCCTAATTATTTACAATATTGCATAAAATACTGTTGATTTTTTAATAATTAGTCATTTAAATAATACATTTAAATAACATATTTTTAAATAATACATTTAAATAAATAATTTCAGATTGAGCACTTGTTAATTAATTCATTACATCAAAGTACTAGACATAAATAATAATACACAAAAATATTTTATATGGGTAGACAAAAATATGACCACACCAAAAGGCAAATATACATCTAGAAATCAACTTCAAGGGGCAAAAAGGTCCTTTAAATGGAAAACTTCTACCACTGAATGTGAATTTTCTAGTGCTGTCAAACGATTAATCGCGATTAATCGCATCCAAAATAAAAGTTTTTGTTTACATAATATATGTGTGTATACTGTGTATATTTATTATGTGTCTATAAATACAAACACATGCATGTGTATATTTAAGAAAAATATGTTATGTTTATATGTTAAATATATTTATATATAATATAAAATATAAAGATATAAATGTATATACATATACGTAAATATTTTCAAAATATATACTGTATGTGTGTGTATAGGCCTGTCACGATAACAACTTTTTGTTGTGCGATATATTGCCCCAGAAATAATTGCGATAAGCGATATTATTGTCATTTTAAAGACCATTTTATGCCACTGAATATATAATCATAATGTAACAGCATAATAATGCAAGAAGGCCTACACACTTCCAAATGACAACAAACTTTTAATTTTTAAGAATATTTAGATCATGGAAATTAAGTATCAAAATATTAGATACCTTAAAAAACCTGAATAAATAGTAAATAAACATTTTCTAACAAGAAGTGCAGAGTAACAAGTAGAAAAAAAGATGGAGATGGAGATTTTTCCGTCTACAGATTTTTTTCTGACCTTCTTTTCTCTGTAAATTAAGGGTGCACACTATTGCTGAAAAACATGATCACTACTTAGCAGTCAGATGTCCATATGCACAAAGGCACAGATGCCTAAACAAGACCATATCTGCAGATGAAACTTTTTTTGCAGAAGCAGTTTTTAAATTTGAACTAGCAGCTCATGACTACACCACGTTATGCACGAGAAGCTGCAAAAGACACAGGCACAAGTGGAATGTACAAAACATGGTGACATAATTTTTTAAGTAAATATAATGGGCGATATATTGCGTCACCAAAAATTATTGAGGTCATGTACATATATTGCGCGATAAGTCGATATATTGATTATTGCGACAGGCCTATGTGTGTATTTATATATACATAATAAATATACACAGTACACATACATATATTACGTAAAACTTTTATTTTGGATGCGATTAATCATGATTAATCATAGAATTTTCACATGCAAAATCCAATCATTTCGATAAGAATCAACATGACCAGGAATTTTGCGTAAAGTTGAGTTATTCCCCACACAGATTTCGCAACTGCTTCAAGTTGGTCTCTCCAAAATTTGCAATGTTGATCAACAGACAGCTGTTTGATTTGAAAGAGAGTAGTGCTTCATACATTGTTACATTATTGACGATTAACCTTTTTTGTATTGAAAAATTGGCAGAAATTACATTAAGGTGACCGCACCTTAACACTGCTAGAAAGCAAACAGCCTTGCAACCAACCCAATACCAATGCTTTGACATCCACCCTATCATCGTTGCAGGGTCCGAAACAATTTGATATACGTAAAACAAAGTGAGACTACCCTGTTGCAGTGATCAGACAACATCAGCCAGGACTTAATCAATAAGAAGTCAGTGGCCAGGCCGAGATGACAAAGCCAGTAAGAGCAGCAGTGTTGAAGGTTAAGGAAATCAGGGTGAAGAGTTACTCACAGGGTACCGTACGAAGATAGAGGTTGTCCCGAATTATTTGTTGCAGCTCATGGTCCAAAGAGCCCTTCTGGAAACGCAGGTTGAGATACTGCCTGAGATCTTTATCTACAACACCTCCTGTAACACACATACAGACGGTTAGATGACCCTCTACCACGATACAATCTCATCTGATAACAGGCTTCTTGGCGTTTACATCACATTCACAATAAACTCTGTGAAGAAATGCCTTTTGTGTGCAGTTTTTCAGTAGTAGTAAAGAATGTGTGTGCAGCCATTCTATTTTCTGAGGAAAAGGTCTGACAATACTTCAGCAAACCATGATTTAGTCACTCGATACAAAAACCTGACCTCAAAGCGATCGCCTGTAGAGCTGTGAGAATATGTCTGTGATAGTTTCCACTTTGTTCCATGGTCAAAAAGCTTTTTCAAGCTCCTAAGAGGGTCCTACCTTCCTGTTTAGCTTGTTTCTCATCGATATAAGCACACAATGCCGCTCATACACACACACTGGCCAAATGCACATCATATTTTTCATGGTACATAGAAATGTCTTCTGAACACATAAAAGTGCAGGGATCCCCATGAGGAGTCCCAGTGATAAATACACATGCACACACGTCGTCATCATTATTACATCCCGTGATGAAATGTGGAGGGGGTTCTCTTCAAAAAATGTGCTTTATCAGCAGACAGATGTATAGAGAGTGAGAATGAGAGAGGGGGTGAAGCGAAAAACAGAAAGAGAGAGGCACATGTGAGTATATGGAAAAAAAGCAACTGAAATATAGAGATGAGGAAAATAAAGGATAGTATCCCCACCCACACACACATCGATAGCATTTCTCTAAATTTCTAATATATATATATATATATATATATACAGTAAAGCTTAAATCCTTAAAGGGCCAGTTCATCCAAAAAATAACGTTTTAAGAGTTATATTTGAACTTGGTGCATCACAATTAGCTACAAGGTTAGTGAGAACAGTGATGTTTGGTGGCATTGCTTTTACTTAGTGTGATACATCTTCATGTGTCAAATGTGCATCAACAAATAAGATTTGAGATCTATGATGGAGAGTACAATTCAGAAAATAATGACTTTTTCAGAGAATTTTGGCCTGTTTCTCACACAAAGTGATCATATGATATCAGACGACTTGGAATACAGTGCACAAGTCATATGGACTTCTTTTATAATGTTTTAATGTCATTTTTTGTCCTTTTGTAGCTTGATATCTCCAGTCCCCATCCATTTTCATTGACAATCCCAGTCCTCATTCCCTTAAAAGATGACCACGGCTATCAAACAAGATTTGCTGGTAATAGTGGCTCAAATTACACAAAGCTATCATATGGCTTTTATAAGACATATAAGTCATACAGACTACTTATATAGAGTTTTTTTTTTAAATAATTTTGGGAAGCTCAAAATCTCCAGTCCCCATCCACTTTCACTGTATTGAAAAGGGCAGCATGAACATATTTCAAAATTTCTCCTCCTGAATATCGAATGTTCATTTTTGGGAGAACTATTCCCTAACCCATAATTTAAACACACACAGTCTGGCTGAAATGCAAGATTGGCGCAGTCATATGTCGTCAAAAAGCATAAGGACAGTGCCTAAAAAGATGTCACACTAAGAAACTATGCTCATGTGGGTTTGAGAAACCGGTTTTCCATGCTTAAAATGTGCACCCAACAAACACACAAATCACCCATCGATTCATGTATGCACTCATGTACACACCGGTGGATTTTAAAACTCTATGTAGAACAAGCCCGATGCGTCTAGAATAACCTACTTCAGACATGCCGGTTCACCAGACATGACAATCATGCTATTTACACACACACAATCAGTTAAAGAAAACCTCTGGTTTACAATCAAATCGTGGGTTTGAGAAACCGGTTTTCCATGCTTAAAATGTGCACCCAACAAACACACAAATCACCCATCGATTCATGTATGCACTCATGTACACACCGGTGGATTTTAAAACTCTATGTAGAACAAGCCCGATGCGTCTAGAATAACCTACTTCAGACATGCCGGTTAACCAGACATGACAATCATGCTATTTACACACACACAATAAGTTAAAGAAAACCTCTGGTTTACAATCAAATCACGCATAAAAATCCAACACAGACATCATCGGCACACAGCTCTGTCTGAATGACACAGGACATGAAATTAATGCCAAATGACACACAAATTGATGAGTCTCACACTCAGCTCCTTGGAGAGAAATAAATCAAGACTGCAGACCCCGAAGCCTCATTCAAATCCATAGCACACACACAATTCATAAGTCAACTCACAGAGCACAATGGAACGGAGCTTCTCTTGCACGGCTCAGCCAGATGTTGCAGGTGATGATTTGAGCATGTCTGTGATTGCATGTGTGTGTGTGTGTGTGTGTGTGTGTGTGTGTGTGTGTGTGTGCAGTCCAGGTCTCCACAGGTCTACGGCCACAGTGTGCAGGTTTTCTAGCAGTGTTAGATAGGTTCAGTGCTACAGACTGTCTCTCTGCACACTGCCGTAACAGAGAGAGTCGCTCTGCAGTGACCGAGAGAGAGAGAGACAGACAGAGCGAGAAAGAGAGGTTGAGCACTGGGACGCTGCAGAAGAAACGTGCCTAACAGTGGGAACCTATCACAAAGCTCTCTCTCCTTGTATAGGAGATGGAGGAGGGGAAGAGATTCATCGCCCTCTATGGGTGGACTGGAGACGTGAAGCAGAGACTACCAAATCTCAAATTTTATATCCATGTTTCATACCAGCATAAATTATGATGTTGTGACGCCTAAATTCACTTTTATCATTCACTTTTATCATTCAAAATGATTTCTTTCTTTTTTTTTTCATTTACAAAATGAAGACTAGATGTTGAAGATCCAAGCCAGCTGTAGAGAAGCCACATACAAACCAAGTGAAAATATTTTGGAATATCTTGAGCCTTAGATTGTCTGGAAGGGCAAATGTCCCTCCTAGGCTAAAATTAAAAGGATGCCCATATACCTTGTATCTATTCTGCAGCCCTTTCCTGAGTGGTTGGCCAAACTCTAAACACTTCAAAAACACACAGACTTGACATGAGATCTCCAGTAATATTTCTATATTTACATATACATTCGCAAATGACTTTTTTCCTATTAAAGTCGCACAGCAGGGCATATTTTGTTTGCCAGTTACTTGATCAGGAAGATAATGTGTCAGCTACTTATGTAGTAGACCTGAAGATCCATCACAACTCTGAGCTTTCAGTTTGTTTTTTTAAACTAATGATGTTCGAGCTGCAATTGTTGACTTAAAATGGCTCTTTTTTAAAGATTTGATTGAACTGATTACACATTCTATGTAACATAGAACTACAACAATAAACGGTATCATTTATTTCATTACAAAAAATTCTGTAAAATGCTGTGTAGGGAATTTTGGGTACACTTTCAAGTCATGTCTTAAATAGGTGACTCTTTAAAACAGAAACTAACTTTTTTGGTCTGATATTTCCCCTACTGTAGACAAGAACTTCACGTCAGCAGTTCAACTTAGTTTGCCAAGTTTCAATACATTTCATATTCATAACAAACCTACACAAAATGAGTAAGTGGAGTGTTCAGGGTGCCATTGCCCTTGAGTGAGTACAGAGCACATGATGAAGAACAGGTGCCATCAGAACCCCCAGAGAGAGGGAACAGACTGTATTGAATTCTCATAACGTCCCACAGCGGCTGCCTTCCAGGCCCTCAGTGCCAGAAGGAACATCGTTTTTGAGGAAAGAGCAGTTGTGTATGCAATAAAAAGACAGACATCTGTGTCACCTGCCTCATGGCAAGTAAAAATTAAAGGTGAAATATATTTCAAATGTTTAAATATGAATATATAGTATACACATAATATGCATTAACACTTACACTAAAATATAATGTAGAACAGGTTTTTGTAAGTCATAATTTATAATGGTTAACAAGGTTATATGTCTCTCTGAAATGGTTCTTTTGGTTTCTCCCAACTTCACAGACTAATTATATCAACACCTGTGACTCATTTTGTACCTGACACACTCTGACAGGGCTCTACACTTATTTTTCTTTTTAGGAACGCTTGTGTTCCTAACTTGAAAAATTTAGGAGCACAGTCAAAAATTTAGACTAAAAAAATTGCCTTCCCATTACGAGGTCATATTTGACTCCTTAAAGTGATTTACAGTAGAATTTTGTTTTTACCTTTGTAATGGCATTTTTCTATCTTTATTAAAAGTATGTAATCTTCTATGTCAAATTAAAAAAAAAAAAATGTTATAAGCTTGTTAAAAATTATAGATAAAACCATATAATAAGAACAAGTAGAATAAGAAGAATAAGTTACTAATCAAATGAAATCAGTATTAAAATTAATTTGTACAGAGGTAGCACAGAAGAACACAAAAGTGGCTTGTAGGTGTATTTTCAGACATTTAATGAGGATCAGAGGTGGCATGAGTGCAATTAAATCCATAAATTCATGTTTATTAATGAATTTAATGATTAATGATTAAAAGATTAATGTTTTAAAAAA